ATCTTTGGCTGTAGGTTCTTACTTTTCATCACCTTGAATATTTCTTGCCATTCCCGTCTGGCCTGCATGGTTTCTGTTGAGAAATCAGCTGACAATCATATAGGTGCTCCTTTATAGGTAACTATCTGCTTTGCTCTTGCTGCTTTTAATATTCTCTCTTTGTCTTTTGCTCTTGGAATTTTAATTATAATTTGTCTTGGTGTGGTCCTCTTTGGATTCCTTTTGTTTGGAGTTCTGTGTAGTTCCTGGACTTGTAAGTCTAATTCTTTCACCAGGTGGGGGAAGTTTTCTGTCACTATTTCTTTCAGTATGTTTTCGATATCTTGCTCTCTCTCATTTTCTGGGACCCCCATAATTCTGATGTTGGTTCGCTTGAAGTTGTCCCAGAGGTTTCTTACATTATCTTCAATTTTCTGGATTCTCTTGCCTTCTAGCTTCTGTGGAGGAGTGTCTTCTGGCTCTTTATGCTCCAAATCTTTGACTTGATTCTTGCGATCTTCCATTCTGTTTTTAGGACTCTGTATAATATTTTTTATTTCAGACAATGTATTCTTTATTTCTTGTTGATTCCTTATTAATTCTAGTTGATCTCTTTTCATATCCTCATAGGTCTTATCGATCTTTCCTAGGAAATTCTTGAAAAACCTTATAAGCGTAGATTTGAACTCTATATCCAGTTGCTTTTTGTCCTCCATTTCTTTCGTTTGTGATCTATTTTGTTGTCGCATTTTGCAGCTACAGATGGGGCGGGGTTTCAGGGTGGAGCCTACAGCCATGGCTTCCATCATCCCCGCCCTATGCGGGTCCTTCAGTACTTGTTGCAAGCGCCTCTGAGAGAAAGGTGCCCTCGATTTTCGCCTGCCACCAAACAGTCTGGGCTTTCCCCCAATGAGCCCAATATTGGGGTTCAGTTCAGTTGGAAGTGGAGTTGGAGGTGGCATTCAGAGCAGTCCGGAGCCCCAGTCTCCTTCCCGCCAGGGCAATCCTGCGGCACAGCCAACCATCCCTTCTTTGCGTGCAATGTGCGCCTCTGGGACCTCCTTTCGTGGCTCCCCCGGGGTTCCGCCTTACAGCCCAGCTCCCTATGGATGAGCCTGGGTCCCCGGGTTCTGGCCTAGAACTGGGGTTCAGAGCAGTCGGAACTGGGGCCAACACAGTCGGAGCTTTTATCTCCTTCCTGCTAGGGAACGCCAGCCAGGCACTCAGCCGCCCTCCTCTCCGGCTCTGTCCTCTGTCTCCGTACCTTAGGCTTTTACAGCTCCTACGCTCTTCTTTCTGGTTTTCTCCTTGCTTCTCATTGTAGAATTTCCAGTCAGTCGACTTTCCTGTAGTTCTGGGTAATGTCCATTTTATATTTAATTGTATTTTATTGAAATTGTGTGCGGCTGTGGCGAGGTGTTTACCTGGGCAGCCAACTTGGATTCTCCAGATTGTTTCTTTTTCATTTGGGGGTTGCCCTCATTTTGGCTGCCTGTTTGGGTTTGTATCTATGTATTAGGTTGGTCTGCTATGCCTCTCAGTCTCTAGCGATGGACAGTGTCAAGTGCTGTCTCTGACTAATAAGATCAGGTAAAGACTCTAAGCCTCTAGAGATCACCTCTGTCTACCAACTGATAGGATTCAGTCTTGAATATCCCTCAGGCAATCCTCCACAGGTGTGGTGAGTGTTTTTTCAACTGGGTGGGGCAATTGGTTTTGCCTGGAGGCTAATTGTTATTCTCAGTCTCTTAATGGGCCTCAGAAACTCCTCTTGTTGGACAAACTGTTTTCCAATAGGGTAGGTCAGTCAGTGGTCAGCAAATTCATTAGTCAACAGAGCCAAATATCAACAGTACAATGATTGAAATTTCTTTTGAGAGCCAACTTTTTTAAACTTAAAATTATAACACCACTTCTTCAAAATAGATTACCCAGGCTGTGGTATTTTGTGGAAGAGCCACACTCAAGGAGCGAAAGAGCTGCATGTAGCTCTCAAGCCGAAGTTTGCTGACCAATGGGGGTAGGTCAACTGTCTTCCCCCCAGGCAAAGCTGCCTGTATAGCAAATGTTTGCATGATAAAATGATCTCTGCAGCTTGTGGGAATGACAGCATAGGGCATGGAGTGTTTACCTTTTGAGTTCTAACCCAGAGCTCCTAATCCTGGTTTCTGCTTACACAGCTCCAATCCACTTTGCCCTCCCTCCGCTGTAGGGCAAGGTACACTGCACTGTATCAGCTTCAATTGTGCATTGGCTCTTTAAGAGGGTGCCTGCATTTCCAGCCATCTCTCTCTGGCAGATAGCAACCTGAATGCTTTTCACATTCAGATGTTATGTGAGTATCCATCTCAGTTCTGGTGCTTTCTGTTTAGGGGCCCAGCTTGGGGATTTGACCCTAGAGTTTTCAGTGGCAACTTCTCACAGCTAAGATATCTCTCTGGAACTTCAGTTGCTGTCTGTGGGAGCCAAGCCAGTCCTTTCATGCTTCTGCCCCTCCTACCAGTCTTTATACAGTCTCCATTTCCCATCCTCGGTTATCAGGGTTCTCTCCAGTGAGTCTTCTGTTGATTATTCAGGAAGTTTTTCTGTATTTTAGTTGTAATTCCAGTTTGGTCCTTGCAGTATGTCCGTGCAGCATCCACTTATTCCGCTGCCATTTTTAACCTCCCTCAAATCATTCTTAAAGGTTTTCATTTAGGAAAAGGGCTTATGCTCTGTTGTGTATATACAAGAATCCGAGAATCAAAGCCCAAGGGAAAGTGAATGGCAGAAAAACTGGCTGTAGCACAGGTTGTATGGATTTCTTTCAAGGTTGTGTTGAATTTGAGAAGACAACTAGGCCAGCCTTGTGAATCTGTACCCCACACCTGAATGATGAGCAGAGTGAGTGTGGCAGAAACATAAGCATGGTCCCAGAGGTCAGGGTACAGTGAAAGGAAGTGCCTACCTTTTGGGGTAGGAATAAGGGAAGGGGCACTTGAAGACACTGGCAATGTTTTATTTCTTGACTTTTTGCTTTTAATAATTCCTTAAAAGCTGTGAACCATCCTGTGTATACTGAACTTACTAAAAATTGGGTGCTGTTTTTACATGTAGTTTTGGAGAATTATACTAAAGAGGTCTGGAGTATTTCAGGACAAGTTCTAGGCTGTCAAATGGATAACATCACATTCCCCCTTGAGATAGCAGAGCAGCTCACAGAGCTGGCAACACCAAGATGCATTCCTATGACCACGGCATCTGCTGAGAAAAGACTGAGGGAAATTACCCAAATATTTCCACAGCCTTAAAACTTCTGTGTGGTAACAATACCATTGGTCACTCAAAGAAGTTAGTTTATCAACACCAGAAAGTAGGACCTCTGAGATACAGACAAATATCCGTGCTCCTCACACCTGAGCTTTCTGTTTAGAGAGTAAGTTCATGGTTGTACTACCCCTTTGCTGACAAGGCTGGCTGACGCTGTTCCTTCCCTAGAATCTTTCTACTTGGTACCACCCCAACCTGGTGGGAACTAAACCTGGGCCTGCAGTGGAGAGGCTCATTGTACCACTAATATGTGTACTCATATGACTCTGACTGCCTGGATATCAGGTAGTAACTTTGCACTATTGTTGGTAAGCACAGAGAAGACCAAGGACCAGACACCCCATCTGCATAGGGCAAGGCATACTGAAATGCATAGGCTTCAGCACAGGCCTGACCTTCATACTCACGTGTTTCTCATTGAGTTTCTACTAAGAAAGATCTGTTGGAGAGTCAGGTGGGTGAGAAGTTTATAGTCCTTGAGAAGAACATATATCAACACAAATAAGTGAGGAGTATCAGTATAGCACCAGATGTTGAGAGACACAGCTTGGGGGATGGAACTGGGGGTTAGAGCCAGGTTAAGATGGAGTGTAGGGGACTATAAGCTGTCACACACTATAGAAGCCAGAAATCACTGCCACACTAAGCTGCCAGGTAGGAATTTCTGACACCTCAGTCTTGTTCAACTGTCCTGGAGATACAAACTGACTAGGAGAGAGTGAGTAGCAATTCCTATACTCAGAGCTAAGGCTCTGGCTCATTCTCCCTGCTTTATACAAGAAGGTGCTTCTAATGGTGTGCTCATGCCCCTTCCCCCTGCTGCCTATGAGGACAATGCTGGACTGGGAAGAGGCTGGTGGTAAGATCCATGAATTCAAATCCTGTCTATCCCAGAAATAACCACTGGCATAGTGATTCTCAATCAGGGTCACTTCTTCCCTTCCCTGAGTGTTAATTGGTACTGCATAGAGGCACTTTTGGTTGTTCTAGGAAGTGGGGGGTGAAGACTGCACTGACATTTAGAGGGCCAAGGGTGTTAAGCATCTTGCAAACAGAAAGAACTGTCCTGCCCCAAATGCCAGGAATCCCCTCATTGAGAAACCTCTCTAGAAAAGTTTCAGAAGGACAACTTAGGTTTCTTAGCTACTCCTTGGCCTAATTACTTAAAGAGATACTTTCACCTTAGTCTGAGGACCCAGCTGATTATGCCCAGCATGTCCATCTGCTTTTAGCTGAACAACACCTGTCCTCCTTTGCTTTCCCTTTTTCACAGATAAGTGTTCCATTGGTCCCCCTGAGTACTGACTGCCTCCTTCTCTAATATTTCAGTAGATTTGTAGAATATTAACTGATTCCTTTACTTTATTTTTTTATTCCTTTACTTCCACACTCAATTTCTACATACTTTAGAGCTCAGTGCTAAAAATGTTTCTTTAGCTTTGGCTTTTACCCAACCTCTGTTAATTAAAATCAGTGTCTATCTCTGTCCTGTCCATATTACTGCTTGCCTCTGGATTTTCCCTGAAGAATGTGGGGTGTGTGTCTTGTCCATGCAAGGATGGGCTGCCTAAGTGAGGCATGCACATTCCCCCACCCTCCGCCCTTGGCATGCACTAGTGGTAGGATCAGAATTCTAGTGTTAAAATATCAGCAGAGCTGCCAAGAAACAGTTGTTATGGTGAGTGGAAATAGAACAAACATCACCAGACTACCTCCGGACACTGTCTCCAGCCAGGCCTGAACTGCTGCACGGCGTATGGAGGGAAGGTCAGGCACTGAATTTAAAACAGATGATAAATACAAAGTTACATAGGAATAAGTGTTCCCAGTGAGGAGAGTTGAGGGCAACCCTAAAGTCCAAAACAAAAGGGGAACTAAAATGATGTTATAGCCAGGGGCCTATCCAGAACTGACAAGGGTATCAGTCCAGGAGAGGAAAGAAAACACAGGGAACATAGGGAAGGGTAATACAGTTTCAAGGATGCAGAGATAGTTCTGTCTTGCAGGGCAGTGTGACATTGTCCCAGGTCAGCAGGGTCTCTCTCCTCTACTCCTGCATAGCTTCTAAGTACATTTAAAAAAAAAAGACTTCAAAATTGATTTTTAGAGAAAGGAAGGGAGAGGGAGAAGGAGAGAGAGAGAGAAACATGGATGAGAAACATCAATGAGAACGAAACATCAATCAGCTACCTCCTGTATGCCCCCTACTGGGGATCAAGCCTGAAACCCCAGCATGAGCCCTGACCCGGAATTGAATCATAGGACACCCAATCAACTGAGCTATATTAGCCAGGACGCTTCTGGATACATTTATATTGTTGCAGAAATAGTTAACTGAGGTTGTTTTTGCCGACAGGTGAAGATTTGGGGCAGAGGAGAATCAAATGATTCATGAAGGTTGTTTCATGAATGCAGGGACCACCCCTTGTATACTCAGAGACTTGCATGGTGTGTGGTTCTCCATCAGTTCCCATCAGAAAGAGACAGAGGTTGATGTATTTGGAAGATGAGTATGGGAAGGCCAGAAAGTGTGAGAATGACATGGCAGCTGACACAGCCCTCCACACTTTTTTTTTCTTTCTTTTATTGCTTGCTATTCCTTAAAAGAATCCAGTATAAGGTTCATCTTCATCTTACTGTGGAACACAGATCATCTTGCCTACAACTTAGAGCTAATTATTAGAAATTTTTAAATACTTAGAGTCTCCTTGATACAAATTTCTTCTTAAAACTTCATTTCCATTCAAACTATGCTTCCCTTGCCCGCATCCTGCCAATGCACATTCACACCCAGATACACTTCATGAAGAAAGGACCAGAATATTCTATCAAGTGGAGAAAGAATAACTCTGCCTAGTAATATGAAAGCAAATTCTCAATTTCTTCAAGATCAAGTTTCATTTATCTATTTTGTTTTGGGGGAGAAGATGCCATAATCTCTTAACCCACAAAGAACTTCACATATTCTCACACAAAAGCCCAGGGCAGTCGAAACCGGTTTGGCTCAGCGGTAGAGCGTTGGTCTGTGGACTGAAAGGTCCTGGGTTTGATTCTGGTCAAGGGCATGTACGTTGGTTGCGGGCACATCCCTGGTCGGGGGTGTGCAAGAGGCAGCTGGTCGATGTTTCTCTCTCATCGACGTTTCTATCTCTCTATCTCTCCCTTCCTCTCTGTAAAAAAAAAAAAATCAATAAAATATATTAAAAACAAAAGCCAGGGCAGTGGCCACCATTAACACCAAGAAAATGAAATGTTCTGTCAGCTCTTACATTTGATTAAACTGATGGCTTTGGCCCTGACAGAAAAATCCTCTGGAAAGAGGGTGTAGAGACAGAAAATGCTCCTAGGGGAATCACGTTCTTGGATCCTAAAGCAGTTACCTCTAGAAGTGGAGGGCTCAGAGGTTGGTACCATTCGCTCCTCCTCCTCTTTCTCACGAATATGTGTCCAGTGCACATCAGCCTGGATTTCCAAGGGATCAGTTGCATTTATGATCTGCTGTAGCCGCTGGCTCCCAGCTACGGCACCAGATTCAAGGAAGATGAGAAAGGGAGAGATGGGGAAGAAGAAAGGAGAAAATAAACAGTCAAGGGAAGGAGGGAATGAAACACCACAGTAAAAGGAAACAGAAAAGTTATCATATTTGCTAGGATTAGTTTGAATCAGAAAGAGCAAAAATTGAGAATATGTGGGCACATGCAAACACACACACAAGGTTTTTACTCATCTAATTTGATGTAGTCATTTCAAGTTTCACATACACTTAATTTCAATGAGATTCATACATTCAACTCCAATTCAGAAAGAACTTTCTTTTCTGATGCTCTTCTTGCATTAACTGCATTCGAGGGACCCAAATGACAAATTAGAAAAAAAAAAAGCAGATTATAACTGGTCCCTTATGGCATCTTTCCAGAGTTCATGAATTCTGAGCTGTTACCCATTATAGTGGGAGATCCCCAAGAATGCACCATTCATGCTTTTTCTGTTGGTCACACAGCAAGGTGCTTACTGCCACCTGCTATGCTTCCCTTTGAGAGTTGAATTAAGAGAGAGGTGGAATGGGACAGTGCCACTCTGCCATGAACCAGCCAACTCACAAAGGATATAAATGTACTTTCTTGGTACTTTAGTTTTTATCTTCTGGAGCTATCAAGAGAAAAAAATCCCCACCCATTTTATAAAAGGCCTCATGCTGCACACACAGGGATACAGCTATGGGAGAAGATGGAATTAGGAGAGGCATGGTTGGAGAGGAAACAGACCTCCATCCTGTAAATTCTCAAAGTTTTGGAAGTACATGGTAGACAATAGTGCTCTGTATTTTCTGAGGTGAAAGTCCTTTGTCTTTAAATTCCATTTGGTCCCCCATTGGTCAAAAGACCCAGTTTCTCAGCTAAATGAGAACTCACCAGTGTCCTCATTTTATTCTTGATGTCAGAACCCAAAGGTTCTGCATGTGGCCCTGCCCTGTGGGATCCCTGTAATCAGTGCTTGGACCAGGCTATACAGTTGGGTTAATATAAAGGAATAGCCAGAAACATTGGGGAAGGAATACTATAGAAGCGAGGATGACTTTTCAGGCAGCAAGAGCAGGTGCCACCTGATTTGAAGGACTCCGTCATTCCTGATGGGAACCTGCTCTCAACAATCTAACTGTATAATCTGCTTTGGATTTATTACTGTAAAGACAATCTATTAATTTACAAGCAACAGAAAATGTGATATATGCAGAAAGCACCAAAAAGATCACCAAATGTGGATATGAGCAGTATGCTATGTTAAACACAGAGCTGCAGGTCACTATAGACTCATGGCCTTTTCTAAGGCCAATTAATCTCTATGGTGCTGGATGGGGCTGAATCACAGCAAAGTCACCAAACAGATTGAATGTCTTAGGGAAGATAAATTAAAGAGAAAAATGTAGGGCTCCATTTCATCCTCCTGGCAACAATGGGAAGAGAGTGAATCTTCTTCCTGAAGCCTTGAGGACTTATCTGTCATCACTTTTCTTTCCCAGGGAAATGTTAAAAGACACCATGCAGGGAGGTTCTGGAAATCTGAACCACTGCTGAGAATTGTGATGTGATGTGAGGCTTTCTGCATTAGAGAAGAAGCCAGTCTTAACTGGATGAGGAGAACTTGCAGCAGAACATATGAAGGGCATTGATGGGGCCACATTCAATAAGGCTGCTTCTGGAGTCTTCTCTGACTTCCTCTTGAATCTCTGTCTCATGTGCTATTTTGTACATGACCATTCATGAAGACAGGGCCCAGGGATATGTGCCAAATCCTATCAGTGCAGCTATGTAACACAGATATTTTCATGTGGGACCTGCTCTTGGAGGCAGATTGTGAATGGCTGCCAGGGAGCCAGGGTAGAAGATGGGCAAGAGACAGAATGGGTACCTTTACATGTACCCGAATCTTCCTCTGACAGACACTGGAGCCACTGGCCTTGTAGTTCTCTGTCCCAGGGGCAATACTCCCCTTCTACAGAAGGGGGAATCAGATACCCACACATACAGCAACAAGAATCCCATGTGGGGATAAACAGGGAGAAAAGAGAAGAGTTATTTTCAATTGCAAGGCAATAATGTCCTGTCCTTGTTTACACAGGCACCAAAGTTCACTGCTCAAGGCACACAGGTGTTGGCAGAATTTGCTGGTACGGGTGTTTCTCTATTTAAAGCCAATCTCCTGGTTTTGATGCCAGGTTCAGGTGTGGGAAATTAAGTCTGTGTAAGGGAAGGCAAGGCTAAATGCTCCTGTAAAGGAAATAGGCTGTGATCCTAAGCCACGTCTGGGGCTACAAGCCACTGAACATATTAATCATCAAATGGAGATAATGGCATCTAGAATGATACAAACAAAATACCTTTCCCCAAAAGAGCTGTGAACACACTTAACCCCTATGACTAGCAGGGATATAAGGCCAGTCATGGCCATATGCGAGAGACATAGCATATGGAAAAAAGAACCCAATGTCAGGTTCCTGGCCCAGGCCTGCCTCCTTCTGCACATAAAAATGAGTAAGGAGGGAGGGGCAGTGCTACCTGGTGGGTCCTACCTCAGCAGAAGAACGAGGTAGAGAGAAACTCCTTAGAGAGCCTGAGTGCATGTCCTGCCTCTGACAGTTCATGCTGATATGGGCACCTCAAGGACATGCCAGCATGTGCTTTCTTTCTGCCTGCTGAGCCTAATCAGGCTTGGGGTGTTACAGCGACACAGCCCCCCGAGACTACCAGTAATATGCATCTTGGCTGGCAGGACTCTGTGTCTGGCTAGCACTTGGTCCTTGCTGTGCCAGAGAAAATAGATCCTGGGATGGATGAGGTAGCCAAACCATCTAGTGCCAATTCCCCGTGCCCAGGCTGTCCAGAACTGACTGCTCTTCTAATGGCTTAGAGGAATTGGTGCTCACCATGCCATAGCATCACCCTGATGCTATAATAGTCATAGCATCACCCTGAGAGGAACTCAGATCTCTACCTGCCCATTTTCTTCTTTACCACCCATCAGCCAGGAAAGAATGACCTCTCTTACACAGGCAAGAAAAGGAAGCCCAGCCAAGTTCTTTCTTATTCACTCTAGAACACACAGAGCCAGACATAGGGACAGAGTTGAGACATCTTGAGTCCAAACCAAGAGAACATTTCAAAGCCAACCAGACTAACTTGATGCTGAAATTGATACTCCTTCTCAGGACACTGGTCCAAACATGCTACTATACATCATTAACTAAATACTGTTCAGTGGGCCCCAAGTTCACAGCTCCCTCCTCAATGAGATTCAATCTTTGCAGCCTGCAATATCAAGGATTAGGTGTTAGGGAATATATAGAAAGCTAAAGTCCCTTTATTCATAAAAATAAACCTCATTCGCTGAAACTAAAGAGGAAAAAATAGAAAATGAGAAGGAGAGGAGAATGAAGAACCTAATTTGGCCTTTTACGATCCAATTTCAACTCAGAACATGCACAAGGAACACCATTTCCACTGTCAATGGTCTTCTCTGCCTCTGTATCTAAGTTCAGAGAGAGACAGGAAGGATGTCTCTGGGGCTCTGTGGAGGCATGTTATGTGACTCCAGCCAAAGAAACCTCTCATGCTCATGCATAAAACAGGCTGCTTCAGTGACAGACAGGGTCCAGGATAGGAGAAGAGATTGCTTTCTGACCTTCACTAGACTCCTCCTCTTCCTCGTCAGAGTCTTCCTCTCCCTCCTCCTCGTCGCAGTCCTCCTCCTCATTGTCATTGTTAGGCTCGTAGCTCTTCAAGGCATCCAGTTCCTCTTCACTCTTTCCTTTTAAAAGAGCATGGATCCTCACAGCTTCCTTCCAAGGAACACCACCCAGGTCCGAGGTAGGCAGTGGAGGCTCATCCTCCTCATCCTCCTCCATCTCAGACTCAGAACTGCTGTGAGGAAACAATCACACAACCAAAGTGAGGGAATGACAAAACCATGTACAAGATGGTTAAAAGCCACATCTGAGGCAAAGTGTCCCACAAAGCACTGCTGGGTGGGGAAAGGACAACCTTGGAGAGACCAGTCTACTTCTTTGCTTAGGTAAGACACAAAGAAATGGGAGGAGAGTGAAGAGGGAAAAATGGCATACCCATGAGAGTGGAAAGCCCAGTCTGGTGGGTGGTCTGTTTAGAGTCTGGTCTCATGGAGGTCCTCAGAAGCTACAGGCTGTGGATCCATTTTGATGTAAACTCATGACCCCAGGAATCAAGAATGAACAGTAAGTCTCCTTTCATTATGATCCACTATTTGGTTTGAGGAACTCAGTTCTAATTGACTCAGGTGGGTTGGAAGGAAGGTTCTCAAGAAAGCCATAGTGAGGAAGGAGGGGCTGCCGTGAGAGGCATGAATGAAATCTTAACCACACTCTGGCTGGCAGGCAAGATGCAGGTTCTGGAAGTATCACACTCAATTTCATAATGTTCCTTGAGTCCCCACCATGTGACATGACTTGATCTGGATACTGCAGGAAACAGACAGGTAATGTGGCAGCAAAGGCCCCATTAACTGCACAATACAGTGCAGGGACTGTGGGGGCAGGGTGGAAATACTCCAACCACTGGGTCATCACTCTTTGACAAGCAGCTGTATTCCCATCACTGTTCCCTTCACAGCACAGCCTGGCTCAATTACAAATGGCAGCAGCACTGCCTGTGATAAACACTCACCATGACTTACATAAACCCCAAATGTGAAGCTCCACTCTTTAGGCACCACCCTCCTCTCTGCTCACAGAGAGAAGCAGGACAACAGGAAGTATAAGAATAAAAACACTTGGTGCCCTACAATGCTGTGGGGCTCCATAGCAGTAAGAAAATCCCAAATGTAAGTTTTCTCAGACCTGTTTTATGGTAGATAATCACCAGTCGTGTCTCCCCCCCCCCCCCCCCCCCCAGTAGATTCTTTTCTCTTAGTGAGAAACGTGTAGCTGACTGGACTGGATGAAATGGGCTTTCATAATAAAGCATGGTCCAACCTCTGGAATGATGGAGCCTCATAACCCAGGAGCATCAGGCACGGGTGGGCGGCTGGCCCACTTCTCCCTTCAGCCTGAGCAGGGATTGTTAGTACACTGTGATGAGGACATGCCAACCACCACCTGTGCTATCAATGCCTGTGGAGTAAATAACTGCTTAAAGAGAGGTTTGGCCCCTGACCTCGCTTCTGGGAGGTGAACTTAGCCTTAGAATGCCCTGCTGGGTGGGAATGCCCATTTTTTGGGGGCCTTGGGTCAGCCAGTCCTTATCCTGAAACACAGTCTACTAATGTGTTTCAGGATAAGGACTGGCTGTATCAGCAAGACCAGCAATTTAGGTGAGTGCTTTGGGTCATGCAGTGGATCTGGACAGCAACTACAACCACATGATAAGTTGATCCATGAGTTTCAAATGGCAGCAGCACTGCCTGTGATAAAGCACTGCCTAGTTACCAAGCCCCCCAAAAAACTCTAAATGGGAAGGCTTGGAGAGCTAAGCTCCATGGGTATCATCACACATCAATATCAAGAAAATGACACTGTCCCAACTACATGGGGAGAATGCACAGGAAGCTCTGCACCTGAACCTTCCTGGACTCTGTCCTATGCTTGTCTTTCCTTGGCTGACAACTGGTGCTCTTTCCCTGTATAACATCTTTCAGTGATTCTGAGTCCTTCAAGCAAATTATTGAGCCTAAGGGTAGTTTGTGGAACTTCCACATGCCAGCAAGGTCAGAAGTAAGGGCATTCCTGTGGGTTGCATTTCTACTTCTCAAGTGGGTGGGTCCTCATAGTGCCAAGATGGCTCTGCTACTTACAAGATGTGTTACCTTGAGTTGATTACTTAAACTCTCCAAGCCTCAGTAAGGGGGCAGTGTTAGTACCTGCCTTGTAAACATGTTGTAGAGGTTAGGGACTTCACTGATTTTTAATGTTACAATCTGGGACTCTAGCCAGCCATTCATCTATTTGGTTACTTATTCATTCATTCAACATTTTTGAGCATCTACTGAAGCTCAGCCAGTGGACACAGAAATAAAAAGAGCCAACTTCTTATTATAAGCAGCTGTTTGGTGAACCCTACTGCAGTCATTCATTCATTCATACATCCATTCACTCAACTAAAATTTACTGAATATCTTCTACTTTTAATGCACTTCCTAGACATTGCAGAAAACATAAATGTGACACAGAAAAAATCCTTATTCCCAAGGGAGATAAGATGGAAACACATCATGATAAAATAAGGCAAAACATGACTGTAGTGGGATGGAGGATTAGTGGGAAGCAGTTTAAAGTGGGTAGATAGGGAGAAACCAAGATAGTGGCATAGGTAAACACCTAAACTGCTGCCTCACACAACAATTTCAAAACTACAACTAAGACAAAATGGACATCATCCAGAACAACAGGAAGGCTGGCTGAGTGAAAATTCTACAACTAGAAGGAAAGAGAAAAGTACACTGAGACACAGAGGATCTGTGGAAGGCAAAGGTACTGAGGCGCGCATGTGGAGAGGGCAGGCAACTGAGTACGCGGCTGGCTTTCTCAAGCAGGAGGGAGACAAAAGCTCCTGACTGCACTGAACTCCGGTTCTGGGAGAGACTCTGGAGACCCAGACTCATCCAAGGAGAAACTGGACTATCTGGCAGTGGGTGGAACTTGAGGGTAGCTTTCTCTCAGAGGTGCTTGTAACGATTGCCATGGGATACTGAGACACAGGGGTCTATTAGGGCAGGGCTGAAAGTAAACCAATGCTGTCTGCTTTGCACTGAGACTCTTCCCCATCCAAGCTGAGCACAGAGACTTTTGCAAGTCTTGTCTCCAGCACAGAAGTTCTCCCAGGACAGACACAGATGATTTTCATAGCCAATTGGCCTGAAGGTCAATTCCTCCCAGTGATACCAACAACAATCAAGGCTTACCTACAATAAGACTGTGCACACTGCCCACAAAGGGGTGTATCAAGAGTGTCCACCTCAGGTAACTGGGGAGGCTGAGCCACTGGGCCCTATAGGACACCTAGCACACAAAACCACTCTATCAACTCAGGGAAGCAGCCAAAATCTGGAGACAAAAAAACAGATCACAAATGAAAGAAATGGAGGAAAACAAATGCCTGGATATAGAGTTCAAAACCACAGTTATAAGGTTTTTCAATAATTTTCTAGAAAAGACCAATACATTTAGCGAGACATCTGAGGATATGAAAAAGGACCAACTATGAATTAAGCATTCACTGACTGAAATAAAAAATATTATACAGAGATCTAACAGCAGACTAGAGGACCACAAGAATCAAGTCAAAGATTTGAAATACAAAGAAGCAAAAAACACTCAATTGGAAAAGCAAAAATAATTCAAAAATATGAAGATAGTATAAGAAGCCTCTGGGACAACTTCAAGTGTACCAATATCAGAACTATGGGAGTGCCAGAAGAAGAGAGAGAGCAAGGTACTCAAAACCTACTTGAATAAATAATGACCAAAAACTTCCCCTACCTGGTGAAAAAAATAGACTTACAGGTCCAGAAAGTGCACAGAACCACAAACAAAAGGAATCCAAAGAGGACCACATCGAGACACATCATATTGTCTTGGTGTGGTCCTCTTTGGATTAAAAGGTAAAGAGAGAATATTAAAAGCAGCAAGAGAAAAACAGTTACTTACAAGGGAGCACACATATGACTGTGAGCTGATTTCTCAACAGAAACTATGCAAGCCAGATAGGAGTGGCAAGAAATATTCAAAGTGATGAATAGCAAGAACCTACAACCAAGATTATTCTACCCAGCAAAGCTATCATTCAGAATTGATGGGCAGGTAAAGAGCTTTATAGATAAGAAAAAGCTAATCACCACCAAATGACTATTATATGAAATGCTGAAAGGTATTCTAAGAAGAAGAAGGAAGAAGGAAGAAGGAAGAAGGAAGAAGAAGAAGAAGAAGAAGAAGAAGAAGAAGAAGAAGAAACAGAAGAAGGTAAAGATAAAGATTATGAACAACAAATACATATCTATCAACAAGTGAATCTAAAAATCAAGAGAATAAAAAAATCTGATGAACAGAATAAACTGGAGCTACAAGAGAATAAGGGGCATAGAAAGGGAGTGGACTGACAATTCTTAGGGGGAAAGAGGAGTGGGTGTGTGGGAAGAAACTGGACAAAAATCGTACACCTATGGATGAGGACAGTGGGGGGGGGGGAGGGATGTAAGGGCAGTATTGGGGTGGGAACCCGGTGGAGGGGAGCTATGGGGGGAAAAAAGGAACAACTGTAATAATCTGAACAATAAAGATTTATTAAATTAAAATAAAGTGGGTAGAAATAAGAATTTAGACTACAGACAAGTTGGCATCTGGATTTTGATTATTTTTCAGTATTTACTTATTTCAGGTATTACTTTTTTCACCTTACCTTTATATTTTCACTTGTTTATTTTCTTATTAATAAACAACATGTAGCCCAATGTATGTTATTTAATATCTTTTGAACATGAAATAAAGATAAGAATGCTTCTTATGCTCATCTTAAATCTTAGGTGGGCAGAGGGAAGGCCAACTTGGCCTTCTTATGTGCCTGAGTGGTTGCTCAGTGCAGCTTCCTAGGAGGGGCCTTAGTGCAGCCTTGTCCTTTATACTCATGAGGGCTGCACTGTGCATAATGCAAGCAGTGAGGATGTCTTTAAAGCTATGAGTGCCACACGGCTAGTTTTAATGACAGCTTAAGGACCTGGGAGAGTAGCAAGTTAGGCACAGATCATAAAAAAATAGGTCAGGAAAAAAAAATAGGACAGAAAAAAGAAAATAGGATGGAAAGGTCAACCCTTGCCTCCTTAAGTGGCAAGCTCTCAGGCCATTTCTGAAAGGTCTTTGTTAAATGCATCTGGAAACTAAGACAGACAAGCTGGCCTT